CAATTAGTACTGTGAATAGAACTTTCCACCGATCTATAATCGATCGCAATCCTCGTGTATATCAATTTCCGCGAGGATCGAAAAATGTTTATCGGCCGATCGTTATCGATAGGAATGCTCTTAAAGAGACCGGCGATGACAGGTTTTTTGCTTTTCCCGATTAGAAAAAATAAACGAGAAACGTAGAAAAAAGAGAGAGAGAAAAGTTCGCGGATACGCCGACATTTTAAAAAGGTTTTAACGAGCGAACCTTCGTCAAGCGTCGATACGAAACACGACGTATAGTGGATAGCGGCAAGCTAGACGCGCACAGCACTCTGCGGCCGCCGCGACGCCAAGTAATTAAATGCAGAGAAGAAGGGGAAACGAAGGGCTGGTCAGGATGGTGGGGTCCCAGGGCAAAGGAGGGAAGAAGTAGCGAGGGCGTTCCTAAAGCCACTCCCCGAAGTCCTACGGGACTAAAATCTGGCTTTCGAACCTTACGCTGCTCTACCTGAATAAAGAATTCTACGCTCGAAATTCAAATACTTCTTCGAATCTTATAGCTCTTACACTCTACTTGGTTGTTTACGAAATATTCAGACCATTACTGGACCACTTTATTTTGAATCTACGTTTTTAACCCATGGAGTACTATAAGCGCATACATGCGTTTGCGCAAGTAGTGTATTATAAAATTTTAGGTTATGTTGATATTACGAATTAAAGCATAATCAGAACTATATTCTTGTGTAGGTATTAATAACATGAGTGTATAGAATACAAAACATACTTATTTCAATGCAATAAATATTAACAATGTAGTAATTTACTATTTATCACATTAATAAATTAATATTAATGTAACAAGTAGTGAATTACTACTTCTTATTTTTTATTTGGACCACCTCTTTGGATCTACCTTTTTAACTCATTGAATATTATAAGCGCACACATGCGTTTGCGCAAGTAGAAGTATATTATAAAATTTTAGGTTATGTTGAGATTACGAGTTCAAGAATAAGAATTATACATTCTTGTATAGCTTTAATGACATAAATGTACAGAATATAAAACATACCTATTTTAATACAATAAATATTAACAGTCTAGCAATTTACTATTTGTTATATTAATGAGTTAATATTAATATTTGATAATTCACGTAAAATCGTGTTTTCGATTAGTACTGATGAATACCATTTTGTCATGTTATCACATATTAGTGGAAAAACATAATACTTAAGCAGAATTTGTAACAAGTAAAAGTAATTTGAATTCTATATTATTTTGTAAATCTGCAACAATTTTACTCTTAAAGAAATTATTCTTTTGGAAATTTGAAACGAGACAAATTAGAAATTGGATCTATAAAAAGTCATGACTGTTAAATTTCGAAAAATTAAAATGTAAAATTATTTAGATCTTCGAATTAGGAAAAGGAAATTTAGAAATCTGATATTTAGGAAATTTGGAAGTTTAGAAATGCGGAAATGTTAATTTTTCAACTGAGGAAAGTTATTAATACACAAATTTCACAATACAGAAATTTCAAATTTACAAATTTACATATTTTCAAATTATAAATATTAATAACTTGGAAATACAGATATTTAGGAAAAACTGTAATTTGAAATGCGAAGATTGAAAACTTCGCTGATTTGAAAATAAAAATTCAGAAATTTGACAATTTAGCAATTTAAAAATGTAACAATTTCAAGTTTTATGATTTTCAGATTTCCAACATCAGAAACTTCAAATTTAGGATGTTCAGATATTTGGAAATTTAGAAATGTACAAATACAGAAATATAGAAATATAGAAATATAGAAATATAGAAATATAGAACTGTAGAAATATAAAAATATAGAAATACAGAAATTTAGAAATTAAATCTAGAATTAAATTTAGAACTTAGAATCCAAGAAATTTAGAAATTTGGAAATTCAGAAGTTAAAGAAGTTCAAAGTCCAAAATTACCAAACTTGAATTGAAAAACTGACTACCCATCATTATCTGTCGTGCACTTCACTTCCGTACGCTGTGTCCTTGCGAGCACAGTTGCCCATCTCTATCCTACATCACAAAATAGCGAATCATCGCTTTTACCAAAAACCTCATAGTATGCCTTTGTAATCTTTTAGTTACGCGCTCATATACTGGAATATATACTCCCTCATAAAACAGCCTATAATGAACCCATTATCAGTTATTTCCACATATTACAGTAACTCTATACTGCCGTCCATCTCGACTTTAAAATTGTCTACTCGTTTAAAATAATTTCTGAAGATCACTTCAAAATATTCTGTAAAAGTACATTTCGTTGGTTACAATTTAATGCAATCTAACAGCGAAGTACACAATGTTCTGCATTCACAATGGCGTTCCAATTCGTTTATCGTTATTTTCTTAGCTACAAGATAAAATGTCTCGACGAATTTCGCTTGTACATCACCTGATATTCTTCACCCTTCGCATTATGCAGCAATTGTGTAATCGAAATTCGTTCTAGTGCACTCGATGCATCGTTCCTTTATGAAATTTAATGCAGCTGCAATACGAAAAGGTTAACATGTTTGCTACCGCCTGACTCTGTTTCGAGAACCACACGTCACGTGTGACAGCGATCATTTTTTATTCTACAGCTACATGAACAAATAATACGTGTTCTGAACTAAACCAATTCGGAGCCGCCTTCTAAAGGACTACTATAAGAATAGACGAATATTTGGTGTACATCGCTGGACCATCTAAACAATTGAAAATGATGTAAAGATATTTCATGATGTTTGGACATTAGTTGTTGATTAACTGCCACTTAAGATTATAAAAATCTTGTATACTTAAAATTATTGAAATTTTGTAATATTTAAATTTATAAAAATTCAGTATATAATAGTGTCCATTAATTGTTAACATTACTTCAACTATCAATTATTTTTTACAACTAACTACAAACAAGTTTCAATCAAATTTATTAATAAAACGTTTGTGTATGTTTTCATTTAATATGCAGTCATAATATAGCTATAGTCTGCTACAACTGACACGCATCCATTTTGCATCGCGAATTCTAACGAATTCATACCATTTGTGCTAATCAAATTAAAAATTTCAAAAACATAATATGATACAATCATTAGCATGATACGACACAAGTATTATTTGACTATAATTCATGTTACAAAATCGCCGTGGGTCTAATAAATTTCGCAATCGGCCATTTAGTATGCAGCAAACTAATACGATTTCAACTGTGTTAACGTTTTTCTCTCTTTCTTAAATATGTACCTTTTTATCTGAGTTGCTACTGAATTACCTGTCAATCCATGGAACCTATAAAAATATTTCAACCAAGAAAGTGGTTAATGAACGCATTTAGCGAACACGTTTATGGTAATTAGACGCAGCCGAGGCTTTGAACGTTGAAACTACCTTTTACAAATTGCAGCGTTAATTTGACACGCTTCAAATAGGATAGCGCGTAAATCAGCTGTATTTAACTGTCGCTACTTTTTACCAGTGTGTCAAAACGTCTGCAATACGCAGCGAATGTCAGTCAAGTTTGATTGACTCTTTAATTAGAGACCCATACGGAAACCAAGCGTCTAAAGTAGTGCATAAACGTATTATATAATCAAAACTACGTACACTTATCATATAATGCTATATGTGTGTAGAGTTTTTTGTCTTCCTGTCGTGGACAACCATAATATTTCTGTAATACACATGCAAGGTACTTTGAAATTTATATGAATTGAAGCGTAATTTCACATGCATTGAGCATAATTTCATATAAATTGAGTGTTATTCTATATAAACTCGGTATAATTTCATATAAACACAGTGTAATTTCATATGAATCGTATGACTAAATTTAAACTCAGTGCAATTTCATATAATCTGCATATTATGCCTGAATGACATTTTCATATAATAGATACAATTGTACGAGATTAAAGCAAATTAAGCTAAAATAGTGTTATGCTACTCATAATTATCTTATATTTTGATCGTTTTTTATCAACTTACAATCTTCAGTACATCGATACGAAGATCCAGTAAACGAGTAATAGTGCTCTTGATTGTATTGATATATTTGTATGAATGTGTTGGATAAGTCGATATCTGATGGCGTCAGATATGTAGTATTCAATTACTATAATTGCAGGAAAAAATATGAGTCGATCGTGTTATCGCAATCATTATACGCGTTTAATGTAATCTATAACATTTACGACTTTGCAAAAATAATTAGAGGAAAATGACCATATCCGGAATAGTATACCTAATTATTATGATTTAATTGCATGAATGATACTGACAAGTACATACTTTGTTGTTGTTTGTAAACTTTAAAACGGTACGAAAATTTCATATTGTTTATACATGTGTCATCATTTTGTCAGGCTTATTCGTATTTTATGTAACATACTTACCTGACAAATACATGTGTATTTTTGAACTGAGTGCAGTTCGGTCTTCATGAAATTTAAAACGCAGACACTTACCTGATATTTGAATATTTTTTATTAATTTTCCTTTTTCGAAACATACGGATAGAGACATATAAATCAAATGCTTGATATGTGGATTTTGGTCATATAGCAAACAGTTTAATTATTGCAAATCGATATTATTTTTATTTTTTTCTAAATGCGATTGTATGTATAACTAAATATTATTAGTTTTGAGCAGAATGAAAGATTCAGAGAATAAAAACAACAAAACTATTTTTATTTCTTAGTATTATGCAAAATGAAAAAGTTAGGAAATAATAAGAATAAAATTATACTACATTCCATGTTAACATTACTTTACGCTATTTTTATATTACTGCAACGTTCGAATAATATATAGAACGTTCTGAAGATCGCACTGTAAACGGTGGTGATTATACATACAAAAATATGTATATCGAGAAAAAGTATGAACAAAAATTTCAGTGCGAACTATCTATGACACACACGGTACTCAATGTGTTTTGATGTCAATTATTGAATACAAGTTGCGCTTACCAGTTTCAAGATCAACAGTATAAGGAAGACCTGCCCAAGGATCATCTGGTTGTTCTTCAAATTCCCTCGTATCTTTCTATAAATTAAATGTCAGCAAAATAATTTTATGCAACGATTGAGTACTCAATCGAATTGGCAAGACTCTATTCGCTCGTTTACTTTACACGTTTGCGATATAATTATTCAAATAAATTGAAAAAAGAGGATATTCTCTGACTAAAAGTAATTTTGAAATTAATGTATGCGAAATATAGTAATTGTGTACTCAATCAATTACCAATTAGTCATCTAAATAAATTATCAATTAGTAATGTGATAATGATAATAAAAATTTAACAATTTCAGAATTATAATAAAAATAATATTTTTGTTTAACAGACCACATTTAACGATTTTAATTGTCGACAATGTATTTTATCGATGGGATCACCATTTTTCTTTATAAATTTTAGCAATCGACAATTGTGACATCATGAGTAACTCTGTAAATCTTTAACAAAAAAAAATAATTTTGATTCATATTTCAAACAGTTTTTAATATAAATACGAAATATCAAGAACAGTAAGCCTATACTTCAAGTCATAATAGCAATAAATAAATTTGAAAAACTTTTATTAAAAATGGATGTCTAAATGTTTCTCTTAATCATCATGCTATTATTTAGATATTTGAATACTCATATAGAATATTATTGTACAATAGTAAATCATAAATAACATTTAAACAGCTATCTGATAACATAATGACATAATAAAATAATTTACTTTCTACTATCAGAATAATTTAATTCTGAAATGGAAATTTATAAATATTTTTGTTATCAAAGCATATATTCATTACTACACTTATCGTTCTTATTAAAATGCCAATCCTCATCTAGAAATCGCGGTTTCTAGGTTCCTAACTCCAAAAATACCACATGATTCCTTTTGTAACAGAATAGTAGATCAATAAATTTGAAAATATTTTATTATTACTTTTTAAAAGCCAGTCATTCTGGTCTTTAAAACTCATCTTAGTTTTGATAGAAATATCGTCTTAACGGTGTTCACGTCTTAACGATCCGTCTTAACAATTCCAGTATTAAAAGAAAAGAATTACTTGAGGCTTTCATTTTGTCCCATGGCAAAGACAGCCATTCTAAAATTTGGAGACTTCGTTATGACTCGGAATCAAGACGCTTTCTCGTTGATAATCAAAGGATTAGGAATGACGCCGCGTAACAATGGCTGAATTCAATTGGAAGGCATCCGAGACGGTGAAGGTCGACGATCATAGAGACGTCATAATCAAGCGAAGCTAACGGCAACGTGAAAAAGAGTCGAAGGGCGTTCGTATGGCCTGGGACCATAGGTTGGCAATGCCTGTGTTATATACGAGCTGCAGTGAAATGAGTTTAATGAAAACTGTATTGTACTCGATCATTAATCATAGCGACTCTCTGATAGTGGCTATCCCAACCACTAGCTCTTCTCCCCTTCCTGCCAACCGCTTTTCATCCCTTTCTATCGTTGCCTCAGTCTCTTTTCCATTCTGCGTGATGTATCGTCGTTGAGTGCTGCGTTATCCCAAAATCCGGGGTTATGAATACAAAGTTCGATCAAACCTTTCACCCTTCAATCGAACAACTCTCGTCAAATCGAAGCTAAGCGCAGTTGCAACGACCCTAACGATCTCTAGGGTGTCTTACGCAAATAAAATTTAAAACAAATGGAGATGGGGAACAATGTCGTAGGGTGAAGTACTCCTTTCTTGACTAGGATTAAATTTACTTGTTATTAACTCTTTGTTCTTGAAAGGCCTCGTATTCATTATTAAAGTCTATAATTTACAAGGATTAAACAAAATTTGAAGCAAATCGTTATTTCTTTCTATAGACTTATTACATGAATGTGAAAAAAATAGAAATAGAATTTTTAATGAAGAGAAAAAATTGATTATTTTTTAAAAAATTTTACCTGAGATTCATTGAACTATTATAATACCCTGTATTTCTAATACCCGTACAAACGAAAGAACACCCAGTTACCCAGACAACATGAAATTTTATTTAACTTATTTCTTTCTATAGGATGTAAAATTAATAGTACAATAAAATGGAGAAAAAACCGCTTATTGATTAGGAGTCCACCTGAAATCCAAAGAATTTTTACACTGTATTTTTTACGCCTTGACAAACGAAAGAACGTAAAGTTTGATCGATTTCAAGCAATCCCGGGATACAATGTCACAAAGTAGCCGCCATTTTGTCCTGAAATTTCATCCGACAGAAACAATTAAGGAAGAGAAGGAGGCCAAACCCACTTCGGTTCGCTGGGCGCGTTTTCAATTTCCAGGACCATCAATACGTCCCTCGGAATCCCCTGCCGTGCTGCTCCAATCTCTCTGGTCCTAGTCTCCCCTCTCTTTTCACCCCATATTCCTAACGCTCTCTTTCTCTTTGTCGCTTTCCACGACCAACCGGCTTTCTTCTTCCTCACCCTTTTCCTACCAACTTCTGCTTCATCGAGGACGCCCCCGGATCGAGGGATGCTATACATCTATCATTTCGCCAAACCGTGGCTGTATGAACAAATGAACGCTACTTCTCGTTCGGCTGCTTTTGTGAATATGTACAGCCAGTGATGGATATTTGAAACTTCCTCTTGTAAAGATTCGGAGTAATTCAAATGTACTTGAGTTTCATCAATTTTAATTTTATTAAAACACTAGGAGTCTTGAAATTTTTGTGAAATCGAGTTATGTAGAAATTGGAATAGTAAAAAAAATACGTACACAGCTAGTGATGAATATTTGCAAAAATAAAGATACAGCTAGTGATAGATATTTGCTTTTCCTCTTGCGGAGATTCGCAACGACTTAAATTTACTTGCGATTCGAAACACTGAATTTTATTAGAATACTAGAAGTTTGAAATTTTTTTGTGAAATCGAGATACTTGTGTGGTAGTTTAAAAATTAAAACATTTGGATACATGACAAAATATCGAAATTGCTTTGGAAATTTGAGAATTTAGAAATATAAAAATTTAGGACTAGAAATTTGAGAACTTGCAGATGTAAAAATTTGGAAATTTGAGAAATGATAAGTTTAGATCACTAGAAAGTTTGAAATTTTAAAAGCGAATTTGAAAACTCAGAAATTTGCAAATTTATAAATTTGAGAATGTAGAAATACGGAAATTTCAAAATTTGAAATTCATCTCATTTTCAAAATCTAAATTCAATTAAGTTTTAGTAATTATAAGACTCCAAAGTAAATATCTTTGACTTTTAAAAGCGTCGAAAGTGTCATAGTCTCGATATTTTGAAGTCTTGAAAACTGTTGAACTGTTGAAGCTTTGAAGTCATGGAAAGTATAAAAAGTGTTGAAGTGTTGGAGTATCGAGAGTGTTGAAAGCGTTGAAACTCTAGATCAGGTCTACGAGTTTGCATTGGGGAAGCAGCATCCTCTGCACATGTCAGCGTGTCTGTCATGGCCGCTATGTATAAGGCTTATCTCGCTATCCAATAGCTCGCTGATATTTTGAAGTGCACTGTATATTATTTAAGAGACTTCAGTTACTTTATTAGAATCTGTAAACCAATCTTGCCCGTGCATTGCTAATTTAAAAATAACTTGAATTCTGAAGAATAGTCATAGTTTCGCATTCTTTAACTCACATCCTCTATTGTTTAGTCTAAAAATTTTTAAGATTTTCAAGGATTTCAAGACTTTGATTTTAAAACTTGCAAGATTTTTCAATGTTCTAATTTTTAAATTATTTAGATTTCTCAAAGCTTTAATTATAAAATTTGCAAGATTTTTGAAGGCTTTGATCATAATACTTTCAAGATTTCTCGAAATAAATGGGAAGAAACTTACTACTTATTTATAGAAATTTTAGATGATTTAGGGACTTTGGGATTTGGAATACAGTCATCTACATATACGGGAATGAAGAAATATTGCAAATTTCCAAACTTCCAAATTATGGAATCTCCAAATCGTTAAATCTTCAAATTTGCAAACCCTTAATTTCCAAATTTACTAATTTCAAAGTTTTCACATTGCTAAATACTAAAATCTCTGAATTTCGACATCTTAAAATTCCCAAATTATTCAACTTCTTGAATTATTAAATTCCTACACTTTTGAATTTTCACATTCCAATGTTAAGTTCCCTAAAAGGCAAATTTGCTCTTGAATATGCATGCACTTCCACAGTCTACTCATTGGTCTTAAAACAAGTTTTAAACAAATGTTTACTTCTTGTGTATGCAACAACACTTGTATATCCAGCAAATGTATTGAACAAACACAAAAGGATTGTATCGTACTAAAAAATCCGCAGAAGAATCCGCTGTTAATTTCAGCGAAGGGCATAGTTACATTCGGTAACAGGATCCGAGGTAACACGAAGATTAAGAACGGCGAAACAATAGTTGTCAATACGTGGCAAAAGGTGGCGTGGAACGATGGGACAGAAGAGGAGTGAACTGATCCTTTGTTCTCGTCTGTTCGCAAACCATACTTTGGATCGATCTGTCTGCTTTCGATCGGGATCGAGGATCTTCCCCGTATTATTGAACCCTTGAAGACGGCGGCGTGTTCTCACAAAGGTGAAACCCATTGGAACAATACGATCTTCGAAGAGGAAGAAACCCGAGCGACGAAGGCGAGTAGACGGCAATACGGGAAAAGAAAGATGGAACCACTGACTACCGAAGCTTGCGAGAAGAAGCAAGAAACCAAGAATAGGGACCAAGCGAACGCAGAGAGAGAAGGACGAAGAACAGAAGTTAAGAGAAGAGAAGAGAAAGAACGTCGAGAAGTCTGATGGGTTACCCGCCCAGAACGTTGATGCAACGTCATTGTCGGTGACCATAGTATGGATGAGCTCTCGTAGACTCGAATCTCTTGGATACTTAAACTCTCTTCGTGTCTATCGACCGAATCGCGTCGAAGGAAATCGACGTTGAAAAAGCTGCCTCGTAAAATAGAAAGTGAATTAAATCAACCGCTGAAAGTGTAAGCGGTTCCTTCAGAAAACGACGCTCGAGTGATCGATCCAAGTCCGTTTAACCATACTGTTTCACAAAATAGATTTTCTGTTTTAGGTGAAAGTTTCCCATAATAGACGATTTAAGAATACCTCCATAATTGGAAACATGCTTATAATTTTAAATAGAATAATTTGGTAACTATTTCCATATTATCGGACATAAATCTAATGTATCTTTGTGATTTATGAATTTGATGCAAACCTAATGCAGCAGTTCAAAATACATTCTACGAAGCAATAAAACGATTTGGTGAAAATAGTGAGGGTCACATTTATAACTTGAAAAATGTACGATTTATGTTGTTTGGCCACATTTTTCTTTGAACGATCATCACGGGTGATTTATTGGCAAACATTGTTTTCGTCCGCGTTTTATCCGAAGTGATCAATAGACTAAGTAGTGCCAATCTCTGCTTTTGGTGAATTGAATAAATGATCCATTAACTTCTACTGACAAGTCAGTACAAAAGAAACAAATTTTGGAATAAACGCTACATATAAGTTTTAGATATGCATATTTATTTCAAAAAGCTTAACTAACGAGATTTCAGGAAATTTGATAAAGGAAGTAATAACGTTTCAGAAAACAAAAGCAAATTTTAATGCTACTATTGCTATATTTGCAAGTTCAATATTATTTTCATTGTTAATGTCAATTTGTTCAGATGATTTGTTCTCCATTTTTTATCACTAAATTTTCATAAGTGCTCTGATCTTCGTTACAACATTCAAATTTGTCGAAATTTTTTTACAACTCCTCGATTAATTCATAAAATAGATAGAAACAGAAGATATCAATAAAATAGTGTACTGCAACAGTACAGAGTGTGTAACAAATATAGTTCTAACGTATTTACCTGAATTATTTTTAATTTTGTTTGTTCAACAACACTTTCAATTGGCCCTTTGATTGAAACACACCACACAATCCTTGCTTTTTATGTAAAAAAAAATAAAATATATCTATTTCTACTTTTGTTTACTATAAAACACAAATAACCGTGCTGTTCTTATAATAATAATAATATCAATAATGTAAAACTATGCAGAAAGCCGAAATATGACAACTCAATTTCCGTTCACGTATTAAAAACTATCCAAAAGAAAAAAATCACATTTTAAATTATTTCAAAATTAACTGAATATTAGAGTTGGTGTAAAACGCGTGATGTTACCACACTCGAAATATGCGTGTTGAAAGTTAAATATCGCTAAATGTTTGCATCATTGTCCATAATGACTTTTTTCTAGGAAGACATATTCCTGGCCGCGTAAATTAAGATCACGCATAAAAACTACCGCGTAAACAGTGTCATAAATCATGTAGTAGGTTAGGTTGCAATAATAGGAATAAAACTAATTGATTAGCACTTTAAGGATAAATATATTTATTAAACATGTAATTCACCGATGTTAAAGAACTAAAAGACGATTGTTCACCTATGTGGATGCCGCTGTTTGATTTCATTTAATATATGTTGGAATATTCCCACAACTTAATTTTCTCTACAATCATAACAGTTCACGATAAATCATAAATGAGCGTAATTTACCGCGTAAAAAAAGTACCGCGTAAATGGAGGGACGAGTGTATTCCCACGTACGAGGAAGCAGGCGAAAGACAAGATCAAAAGCCAATAGTTCGAGGTCCGAAACATCGACCGAGATCATATCCCAAGGCGTGTGGGATGGTTCTTTCCAGCTTAATCTCTTTGGTGTCTACCGAACATGGCTTCCATGGGTTCCATAGGATTATACCTTTGACTGATCTATGCTTGACCGATTACCACGGTGGAACCTTTATGCAGAAGTTTGATAAGAATTAAAGAACGCCCACAGGGATGTAGACGGACAAGTTTTGACTAATTCGTGGTTATACACATTCAGGTCATTTCTTGATCTCCCACAATCTAGAACTTTGATACTCTCTGAAATTTGACCTTTGCGTACCACCATGAACGTTTGAGAAATATGTGAATTTCTAAAATAGTAAATTTCTACATTTTCAAATTTTTTAGATCTCCAAATCCTAAGATTCCAAAATTTCTATTTCTACAAATTTCTAGATTGTTAAATCTCTTGACCTCAAAATCAGAATGTTAAATATCTAAAGTGCCATATTCATAGATCTCCAAACTTTTAAATTGTCAAATTTCTAGATTCTAATATCTACAAATCTCTAAATTCTAAAATTCTTCAATCTCTAAGCCTGTAAAATCTTAAGTCCCCAAATCCATAGATTTTAAAATCTATAAACTACAAAATTTCCATATCTACAGATCTCTGAAACCCAAAATCCTGAAATCCTTTATATTGTAAATTCTTATGTCCCCAAATCCGCAGAGTCTCAAATTCCTAAATCGCCAAATCCCTAAATTCCCATGTTCACAAATCTTCAAATCCCTAAGACTGCAAATTCCTATTTCACCAAATCATTCACCCATAAAGTTTCATATCTTTAAAAGTTTCTAAAAATTAACGGGCGTTTAACCTATTATAGTTACCTTCCTTTCTGTAGAGAAATTAAATTTGTTCTGAACTGAAGGTAAATTTGTACAACTCAGCTGATACACTTTCCTGATCATACTATGTACTACTTTTTGCTCGCTTTTCGTCTCTTTGTATCTAATCCACATTTTGTTCCGTTTTCATTTTCCGTTACTTCAATTTTTAAGTGCTTAACAAGATCCTGACTCAAGATCGGAGTTTTTGTTTCGCTCGGGTAAAAAGTTTTGTAACAAAAATAGCTTTCCTGCGATGGTATTCGGGCATATAAGATTCAGGAACAAGATACACGATTATAGACGTATTTCCTAGACGCGAACAACCTTCATAAGAAGCGAAACAGTCATCTAAAAGATTGTAAAGAGATAGCCACCCTGAATGTCGAATTCTTCTACTAGTCGAGCGAGTGGCGTCACCTTTGTTTGATGCCTCGCCGTTGACTTCACAAATTGATATCGATCTATCGACACGGATCGCTTGCTCGTATCTTTACGGGTATTAATGCAATCAAATACTGATTTTTTTTCTTTCTTCGTTATCTCTGACAAACGATAGAAACATTGGATCTACCGTAAAGTTTTGCCCGTTTTGTAATCCTCAAAGATTTCTAATCTGAACCGTTAGCTAAGACTCGCGCTCTATTCTACACACCATTGCATGCGTGTTACTCATCGACAACATTGTTGAGCTTTTGATTAATTAAAATAACTTTCCCGATTAAAAATACTGATTAATATCGGTACAATTTCGTTTCGTTGTACTTATGTTGAAACTACAATGACCTCGTGGCTATTTTTGTTGCAAGTAAACTATAGCCCAAAATAATATACTACGAAATTATATAAATTAATATAAATTAATATAAATGAATCATAGACTTCGTAGTTAATGAAATTATGATGTGATATATATCCAAGCGTTTATTTAGCTTTGGAAATGACCAAACTTCCGGATGTTTATATTTTTAAATATCCAACTTTCGCTATCCGCAAGTTGCTAGATTTCCAGTACGCCGAAAACTCTAAATCTCTAATTTTCGAAATTCAAATTTATAAATACTAGGATACATAAGTTCTTGAACTTCTAAATTTCTTGATATTTAAATCCCCAAATTTCTGGACTTTTCAATTCGTCTGAACACCTAAATCACTAGATCGCAAAATCCTTAGCTTCATAGATATTGAAATTTCTATATTTTTAAATGCCTATATCTAAAATACCTGAGCTACAAATTCGTGAGTTCCGAAATTTCCAAATCACGAGCTCCGTAGACTAAATTTGTGCTCCTGAAATCCCTAAATAACAAAATATACAGATTTTGACATTTCTAGATTTAGAAATCCGTAGATTCCCAAATCCTTAGAACCTGAAATCCCTAAGTCTCAAATTTCTATATTCCAATATTTCTGCATCCTAAAATCTCTGTGTTCTGAAGTCTTTATGCCTCGACATCCCTGCATGTTGAAATTCCTATATTTCGATATTTCTATATTCTGAAAACCCTATATCCCGAAATCGTTATACTCCGACATCACTATATCCCGTAGACTCCATATAACGAAATCCCTATATCCTGAAATTCTTATATGCCGAAATCACTATATCTCGAAATTCCTACATCCCGAAATTTCTATATTCCGAAATCCCTATATCCCGAAAATTGTTATACTCCGAAATCCCTACATCCCGAAATTCCTATACTCCGAAATTTCTATATCCCGAAATCGTTATACACCGAAATCCCTATATTTCTCTATTCCTAGATCTTCAAATCCGCAAATCTGCTGCTTTCCACTTCCTAAATTCCCAACTTTCTAGACTCCTAGATTCTGAAATCTCTAGGTCCCAAATATTTCTTTAAATTGTTAATCTGACCCAAAATTTTGAAATTCTCGAAAATCCTGAAAAATCAATTAGTGGAAACCCTGTTTCTCTTTAGTTACCATATTTTCCCTGAGGAAGCCAGATTTGCTCATGACTGTGCAGACAAAAGACGGAAAGATGAAGCGCAGAAAACAATCTGTCGGAAAGTATGCGTGAGAAACACGAATTCGAATGGAATCTGGAAAAGGAAAATGTTACGTTTTCCGGCATGTGAAAGCAGAAAGTAGCCGGCGCTCGATAAACAATAAGTCATTAATCGTTAATTGTGGTCTGTTGGTCCGTAAACGAGAGAAAGCGTCGCACAACTATAGACGTATATTTACGATCCGAATCAGTGCCGGAAATCGATCGATTACGGAGCGTATATAAAGAGACAAAGAGTGGAATTACTTGACGAACCTTTTCGTTGTTCGCGTTAATCGCTTCTAAGGCTTGTAATTTTTCAATTTCATCGTCGGTTTGTTTCTCCGATGTGGACGCTTTTTTCGGCGAAGCCGCGGATTCGACCAATGGAGTGAATCCGAGATCCACGTCTTGTTTCCAAAGCACTTCGATTAAATCCATGTCCTGCAACAATACACAAAATTCAGTATAATTAATATCGTAATTGGTATGGTTATACTATATTTAGTAAATTTAAACATTTTGTTACGGTTTAAATTGGACGTTCTGGCTTTCAGGTTTTTATGCCGTGATACGATATCAATTGCAGTGTAGAATTATATTTTTTAATTAAATTAAGGAATTAAATTAAATTAAATTAAATTCTTTTAGCGTGGTTCGTCTCGATTTTGTGTGACAGAGATTATCAAAAGCGCAAGCAAAACACAGCTTTTTATTGATTCGAAGACGACTAAAGTTGATGACGATGGGTTCCTGCCGTCAGATCGCTGCTAAAATCTATAGAGCAAACTTATGTTTGTCTCACGACTTTATTCTCAAAATTTCAAGTTAGAAAATCCAACATTGCAGTCTACAACGTAGTACAGAAAAACGAACAGATGCAGATCGAGCCAGAAGGCACGATTGGCAATAATTGATATTTATTCCAAAGTAGCAAAATGCCTTATAATTCACAATCAGTTGTGTACTATGTTTCATAACCATAAACACAGTTCAATCATACACACGTAATACGTTAATTACTAGCTGCTAAATGTAGCAGTAATTGTATGATACTGCAGTAACGACTATGTTTCGTTGGAAAAACGATAGCTACGTGAACCTTTTATATAAGTTAATAACGTTTGGCCTGCGATCGTTGTTCAAAATTAAAATCACGATCCTACAAGGTTCATTTTTGTTACGAGCGAAATGTCCCTCGCAGGGAATCCTATCGACGAGTGTGTACAAAAGTGCATGATTAATGATGGCCGAGTATCGATGCATCTCGAAATGGAGGAGATCGAAAGAAGAAGAAAGAACCGGGGAGAAGGGACCAATCACATGACGGGGCACAATATCGTCGGGGCAGCTGGCCTGTAGCTTTTAATTGAGCCAATTTCGCCGAGTTCGTATTCAGCCTCGTTAACTAATCTACAGATTTTCTTCGCTAATCTAAACACCAACGTTATTAACAAAGTTACATAGAAAATAACGTCGAGCAGTAATTTGTCAGGTTTAACACCCGGTGTCGATGATGGCCGCTCTTTGTCATCGGATGTTAGGTAAATGTACACGGGACCACGTCTGTTTGTGACAGATTGTTAACTTGATGTTATACATATATATGATGTACGGAAATGATAAAAATAGAAATTTGATCAAAACCGTAAGGTATGATCAATTTACGGAAGCATCAAGTGAAAATAGCATCAAGATAAAACATGTTAGATTAGGTCCTATCGTTCAAATTTGTATAAATATTTTTATCAAATATCTTTGCTCCGAAAAAATAGCACCGAAAAAAGTTTGTCGAAAAAATATGGGTGAACCGCAGAAGTATATGCGTTGGATCATGTAGAAAGTTCGCAGTGCATTTGATGATAACATCGAACATACTAATAACGTCGAGGCAAGATCTTTATATAACCAAATATGGTTGTGCGTGACGATTTTAAGATTTCAGAAATTTCTCCTGTTGTATAACGCAAGTTAAATAGGTAGGTTTTCATTAAGATTTCCACTGAGTGAACTACAATAGTGGTCGATTCGCTGGAGCGTTCTGCATTTTCTAAACGAAAATTACAGGGTATGAAATATGAAAACCAATTATGAATAATGCTCTCACGTACCGCGTCACTTCCGTAAATAACGCATACATATCATTATTTTTTTCTGTGTACCGTTTCAAACGTTCATAATGAAGTAACATCAAGTATGGAAAATAGAATACTACCGCTATCAATCCACGTTTTCATGGATGAAACTTATTGTTACCCACTGCTGGAACTTTTTTTTGCGATTGATACATGGCAATTTCGCACTTCAAAGTATATACTCAAGTTGCCAATTTAAAATTATATAATAATAGTAATTAAAGACTTTAATACGTGTAGTTATCCCAAACGTCATGAATTTTTTTAACACATTTCGCTTAATGCAACAGCTGCAGTTAAAAGCTGTTCTAAATGTCAATTTGGGTGGTGCCAGAGAGTAATTAAATGTTTGAATTTACGGAAATAAAGTATTATAAATAAGTAGCGAGATAATTAGATTAGGTAAGTAATTAATAACACTTACTCGTACTGTGAATCAGTACTTGTATTTACTGACAGTAATGTAACGTTAATATATACTTAATTATTTCTTATTAATTATTATAATATTTATTTAATTATTTCTAATTAAGTAAATATTTCTTAGCTTGATATTTTCTAGCTTTTACCACCGCAATTGTTTGTAGTAGCTGAACTAATAAATATAAATGTAATACAAATGACAAATATTTTAGTATTTAAATACTTTAATCTTTGAATACTCGGATATTCAAATTTCAAATTTTGTAATAGTCAAATATATGAATTACAAATCTTCAAATAATTCAAATATTTCAATTTCAAGTTTTCAACTTAACCAAATATTCAAATTGCAAATCGTCGATCACTTAAATATTCAAATACGTAAACATTACAATTTATATAATAAATTAACAATATTTCAAATAAATTATGCAATAAACTTAAATATTCGAATTTCAAATTTGCGAATATTTAAAGGATTAAAATTTCGAATCGCCGAAAATGATTTATGATGACCATCCAAATAAGTGTATCTACATTCAGCGAATGAATTAATCTATAATTTCAAAGCAGTTGCATCGTGCACAGTTAAATACCTACTGCCACAATCTTAAAGCAAAGACATTTAAATTGTTAACTACATTTTGCATTTAGTGTTCCTTATTTGTCTAGATTATAATTATAACTGTATCAAAAACTCAATCGCAATGAAAGTACGAATATGATTCATTTTTAGACTACAGTGTGTCACCCTTACCGTAAGATTTTCAAGGCAGTTGTCATGCAGTGTTAACTAATCGTTGTTGCAACATTACAACAAACAAAGAAAGTTGAATGCATTTAACGATCCTTGAGTTTGCATGTTATTATTACAATTGAATCAAAACAACAGCGTAAACGCGATTCTGGTTTATCGCATTCGAACTGCAGCGTGCGTCACGAGTGTGACACGATATTACAAAGCGAGTAGTTAAGTGGCACGATTTTCGTGGCTCTCCCTCTATTTATTCACCAGGTGTAGGAGTAATTTCGTACAGATTAATAGGTTGACGCGAATACGGAGTAAGGATGGATCCGGCCTGACACGCGGCCATTAATCTCTGAGCATCGTTATCGGGGATCGCAAATTTTAACACGGCGCATCGGAACCCAAGGGTAACGGATACGTTTCTGCATCACGCTCGATCACGGACGCGCCTTTGGAAATTACTTCACCGAGCGTGTAATTTGATGTGCCGGAGGAACAAGAAAGAAATGGAGGACTCGGCGAGAAAGAGAGACGACAAGGCATGGCGTGGGTGTGCATACTGCCTGTGTGTCGGCCATGTTGAAGAAACACAGCGGGATATCCGCCGCACCCACAGCTGGGCTACGTTCTTTTTTACCCGGACTTCGCGTTTAGGCCCACGTTTCATCTGGCATCGTTGCACACGCTCCAATGATATCGACGCCTTTAATTTTTATTCGATTAACCACACGCCGAGACGGCACTGAAACACCGACTGTATCAAATCAAACGAAGCGAACATCCCTCCTTCTTTCGTGCAGGGGAGACCGCGGTAGACGGCGACATTTTCTGGACACTGTGTATACTCCATCAGGACTACATTTTATCAATATCACTTCAACATCTTATCCTTATAAAATATTACCTTCGTTCTCCTTTTGTATATCTTCTTATATGTTACCATATATCTTTTTTGTATATGTTTCTGTATATGTATATGTTGCCTTATATCTCCTTTTCTGTAAATCTCCTTATGCAAGTTTTCCACATACATATTCGATCTACATTTTTGACATACTTGCAAAAATAGTTCTCTGTCTCATTCACCCTTGGTAAAGTTGCAGATGAAGTATTAAAGCCGTTATTTATTTTTTTGATTGCGCGCCGATGTTCATGACCTTGAAATGTTATCAAGATTCTAAATTTTTTTTCTATACATGTTATCGTCGTTCGGTCTTCATTTTCAAGATATTTGTAAAAATAGTTTTGTCTGAATTAGCTTCGAGTTAAGTTGGAGATAAATACTAAAATAATTATTACCGATTCTTCGCCAATTTCGATGACCTTGAAATATGTTATCAAAGTTACTGTTCTAAACATTTTTTTTCTATATATATCATCGTCGTTCGGTCTTCAAGATATTTACAAAAATAGCTTCTTTTCGAGTTAGCCTCGAGTTGGAAATAATTAAACTTTGTTATGAATTATTTATAGAAACTAAATAAATATATGCCAAGATTTCAAACAATGCAACTGTTTTTGTATTGAAATATTTACGAAACAAATATTTAGCAATGTAACTGATATAGTGGCCTTGAATATTGTGGAAATTCTCTGGATTCACGTTAACTACGTTTGATATTGTATATGCACCATTATATGGATCAATGAAATTCTTCCTGTGGTATACAGTTAAATATTTATATATGCATTGAGGTGATTATAAGATTTCCAACAATCGGATATAACCGTAGAATCAGGTTGAATCTATTTTTCAATTATACGAAGTAACGTCTCGATTTATCCGGAAGTACAATGAATAAACGTTTGGTTGTTCGTTCGACGCCGCAAAGAAATCCATCGTCCACAAAGAAGACGTTCTTTACTGTATTCACGTTTTCTGACTTTTGCTGCGTCAATTTGAACTACTACATTTTCACTTCGACTTGGACTGACGTTTTCGCTATCCATAAGACACAAAACTCTTGGCAAAAACTTATCCAGTAACAACTGATTTTGACGGTAGATTAAGTTCATTTTCTGTAGAGAAACTTGTAACGATCAGAGCATTAAGTGGTATCCTATAAAATGAACAGGAAGGTACGATTTTTCAAACAAAGAATTTTTATATGCAGCAAACTTTAAATTGCACTGTATTT